ACGTTTCACACTATCATGAGCTCATGAGTCATGTCTGACTTGTCAACACTTTATTTCAAACTAATGACTTCCCGTATCCAGTGGGAAGGCTTGCATAAGAACATGGATCTTTTCCTTCAATATGGGCTCGTAAGAACATTTTTCTTGCTCGGTATAGAGTAATCCTATTTTAGAAATGTGTCACTCTCTCAGTTACTCGATGGAAATAACACGCATGCACCGACATTTTGAGAACTGGAATGACATGAAACATGAGCCATGGAAATTTTGGTCAGTGGAAACAATTTTTTAATTTATGCAAAGTTATTCCCATTCACGATTAGCAACAGGGAATCACAGACGCCCCTTCTCTGATTTTTACTTAGGGGAGGGGGTGGTCTGTACACAGGCTAACAGGGATGTGGTTAAGAGCTGGCTGCCAGCTAGTTCAACCAGCTGAAAAAGAGCTTACCACCAGCTGAATTTGCAAACCAAACCAAAGACATATGGGAATTTTAGAGACGCAGTAGTGCAAAAAAGCCGGCTTGACCTTTAACAAAGCCTGCTTATCCATATATTTCATTAATGAATCAATTATTTTAAAAATAATGATATCCTTTTGTGTAGTTTGCATCATCAAAACCATTGTTTTATTATTTAAGGATGGATCAAATGTTGTACATGAAATCTTGACATGATTCTGCTGTTAATTTTGTTTAGATGTTGCTGCATTTCAATATTCATTGTATCACTGTACTTACAAGATGGATCTGATGGCTGAGGCAACAACAGTGACCAAAGATAAGATTTACATTTTTTTGTTATTGTAACACAACAATTTTAGTTTTCACTTAAATGATTTGTCTTGTACAGCTGTTCATTTGCTATTAGCTAAAATAAACATCTGTATTGGCCTTGAAAATGAGCTTTTTTTATTTCATTGAAACTTGTCCAAACTAAGTAGGATGGAACCCTTGAAATTTGTTGTTCATTTTCAATGGTGAAATTTGGTACGTCATGATTGTAGCCTGGAGAGGAGTAGTACATGTATTCCAGATGAATATTGTATTGCAATGACACTTTTTTTGCCATTAATGGCCTTATTTACGCTGTAGTACACCATACTAAAGTGCAGTCATGTTAAAATGCAGAGTGCAGACTGTGCAGACTGAAGATTTTTTTTTTAAATAAGCCCTGAGAATAGTAATTAGGGTTAAGCACTGACTTGAAAAACGGTTAGCTTTTATTTAGGGTTAGGGTTGTTGATACATGTATATAGCTTCAATTTAACCAGCCAACAAATCCTCAGTGATGTATTTGATTTGACAGTCGAGAGTAGTTTAAGACTAAATTTTCATGGTAGCCATGTCTTTGCCTTTCCCATGAAAAATAAGAGAGGGGCATAATTCATGGGTAATGAAAATGTCATCAAAAGCCGTTTCATTTTTTCATGACCCATTAATATTCGACCGTTCACAGAAAAATCATGGTTTTTTTATGGGGCATGAATTTAACAACCCCATGAAAAACCCATAAATTCCGACACCATGAAAAAAGAGTTTGTTAATTCATGGCTTTTTCATTATCATTAAAAAGCCATGAAAAAAAATTAGCGGGTTTCATTCTATTTCATGGCATTTTCATGGGATTTTTGTTTGTTAAAGTTTTTTCATGGGCCATGAAGCGTTGAATTTTAAGGGGTTTTTTCACGCTTTTTTCATTTTATTTTCATGGCATGTTCCCCATGAAATACCAATGAAAATTCCCCATCAAAATCTCCTGAAAAACCTGTGAAAAACATGTGAAATTACCATGAAAAATTTCACTGGATTTTCATGGGTTTTAATTTCATAGTGAATAATCACCTTAATTTTAACGAGGGTAACAGGGGACAGCACCTCAACTGGATAACTAGTGGCCCTCTATAAAACAAAAATTAAGTAACCAAAAATACATATCGTTAAAGAAAAGAACTACATAAGTATACATATGAATAAGACTGAAAAGAGTAAAAACTATATTACAAAGCTTTAGTGCGCGTTTGAGTACCTTACCAAGGTCGGATTTTTCTGGCAGCCACGGAGCGAAAAACAGTACTGATTTGTTTTTTGTTTGTTTGTTTGTTTGTTTGTTTTTTTTGTTCTTTTTGTTTTTCTTTTGTGTGCGCGCTACAAAGTTTTTATTTTTTCATGTTTTATTTCATGGCGTATACAAACCTTGCAACGAGCCCGAAATGTCTAGAGACTGAACTCAGAAATATCACAACACGGCACTTTTGTTCTTACCCGTTTTTTTATATTGAACATTCCTTTATTTAGTTTCTCTTAGGGACGGACCATTAGAAAAGTTATGGGGGGGGGGGGGGGAGGAAGGGAATTTTCGAGCCTCAGGAATTTTTTTTCGTTATCAAATTCCTTGTATGAATTTATTTTAGGCCATAGCATGAATATTTTTTAGGATTAATTGGCGTGCAAGAATTTTTTTCATTTAATTTTCCCTTGCGCGAATATTTTTTTTGTACTTCGCCCGCCCCCCTCCCCCCAT